CCCCCCACCAGGATCAATACTAGTGGGGTGGAAGGTGGAGTGTTGTCCAGGGACAACATCTATCAGCTCCTTCATGCAAAGGAGGGACAACAGAAAATCACCCCAGTACGCTCTTTTGATTTTCTGTTGTCCCTCTTTTGCATGAAGGAGGGACACCCCACCTTCTACCCCATAGTTGCCCCTTAGATCCCGCCCCGGATGTTTATCAAATGCTGTATTGATCCCCTGGTGGGAAAATTAAAGGAGACCAATTATGGGTCCTAGAAATTTTTATGGTATGTCTGTGGACTATCCAGACCATGTTCATTCAATTTAATGCACAAAATAATTCTCAGATAATAAAATTTCCCATTTTCTAGTTCTGCTGCTCTGATTTCCGTTCAGAACAAGCTGTTTATGTTAATGAGCTCTGTTGGTAACACCCTCCAAAAACCTGTTGATATTAACTCCGCCCTTCAAAGCCAGTGTTAATGTTAGTATCTAGTAATAGCAGAAGCTCCGTTGTACAACCTTATACAATATATGAGACCCTGAGTCAGATCCAGAGGCAGAGTCGTGGTCGCAGCTTTTTTTTCTCTCCCCCTCCTCCTGTGTCGGAATTCTGCGCTCACTCTGCATGCTGTTATTAGGGCAGGTAATTGGAGCAACAGCAGTCAAAATACCTCAGAAACTCGAACAAATAGGCTTTAACAAGGCTTTAATAAGCTAAACAATGGAGCTACATGAGAAAACGTGTTCATAACGAACGAGAATAAATAATTAAATTGTACGTGTCAGTGTCGGTCTCGATCCCTGGTCTCCTGGGGCCTCATGTATCAACCGTGCGTACGCACAAAAACCTTGTGTATGCCATTTTCCACGTAAAACTCTGGATGTATCAAAACTCAACTGAACGTGGAAATGTGCGCAGCCCCACACCAACTCCAGGGCTGACGTACGCACGTTTCTGTGGTTTTGGTTCCATTGGCAACACTTAGAGGTGATTCTGAGAAACTGTTCATGATGTGAAAATGATTATTGTTCACACCACGATTAACAATTATTACATCCACATGATTAACAGTTATGACATCCACATGGATGCAGTTAAATAAAGGACGCGCAAAGTTGTGCCAAAAATACATTTAACAGGAACGGAGCCTTACTGGGGGATATAATAAATAGTGTAACACGCAGAGCTTTTATTTATAAACAGATAGAATTTTCTGATGACGAGTGGCTCATCGGCCGTTTTGAGGAAAAATCATTTTTAGTTTGGCACTGCTGCGCTCTGGGAGCGCGACGCAGCGAGTATTTGGTTGAAAATATTATTATTTTGATTGAATTTATTTTTTGTTTGGTTGACAAAAATATTTTTGATTGAAACTTTTTTTGATTGAAGATGCTTTTTGTTTGAATAATAAAAACACAAATTTACTTCCATACGAAACAA